TGGAAGCGGGCAGGGATGGGTGGCCCCTGCCAGCGGTGATGCCCACAGCTGGATGTAGAAGAGGACATCTGTCTGCAGCCTCCACATCCCTGCTCCCATGTCAAAGCACTGCACTGAAGCCCAGAAAATCAGACCTGAGTGTCCCCATCGTCCATCCCCACCCTGGGATGAGTTTTCCTCCCTCCTCCCGGGGGAGCAGCCCCGGCCTCCCTTGCAGCTGGGGCACTGGGTCAGCCTTAGCAATGCTTTAAGCCTGGTTGGATGCATGTTGCCCAAACCAGATGTTCCCCAATTCCTATGTGCAGGGGTTTTGCCTCGAGCCGTGTCACGTCCGTGGCCGCTGCTCCTTTCCACCCACCGCTTTGCTTTTCTGTTGTCTCCTCAGGTAGCCAGATGGGAGCACAAAACGCGAGCGCTCAGCCGAGCCTTTGGCTCGCCGCATACTGCCTGCTACTGCCTGGGCACGGTTATCCTGCTGCTGAACTGCGTGCGGAGCCATTGGTAAGGAGCTAATTCTGCCGCTGTGTGTTACTGCAAAGAACGGCTGCGTGCGATGCTCCTGGCAAGGCGGGAGATGCGGCAGGGAGAGCAAACTCTGTGCCAGCAGCCGTTCAGTGCCGCAGCTTCTCTTGCTCTGGTCCCGGGAGGCTATTCCCCTGCCCTGCTTGCAGCGCAGCTGATTGATAGGAAGGCTGTTTGCATGGGAGGGATCGTATGTAACGGCAGAATTTTTTCTAATTCTCTCATAAAAATTCGAAAAATAGTTAAGCCTGTTTTTAAGAAGCCGCAGGGTTTCCTGCGTAGAAGAGCAGGGATTATCTGTACGCTTGGCAAGCAGTCTTTTTAAACTCTTATCTGCGATCTGTTTAAATACTACCTGTGCTAGCTCAGTAGCAGCGTCTGACTGATGCACCGTATGCCCTGGGAATACGTCCTTTGACGTTCTGAGTGCAGCGAAGAGGTTTACTGCAGATTTCCTCAATGCCAGCAATCTGTCTGCTGTCTGATAGGGTTTTATCTTCAACGCTGTATAGCAGAGGCAGACTCTGAGCAAATTCCCAGATTCAGTTATGCCAGGGTCAGAGCTAATGGGTTGTTTAGTGCTCTGGGTAATTCCCCAGGCACAGAGATCTCAGGTTGGAATTTGCCCGTGTATTTTAGAGCTTTGCCCTCCCAGAAGTGACACCGAGACCTGCCCTCACCCCTCTGCGTTTGCCACAGCCGCTGCCTATCGCAGAGACTGTACGAAGGTTTGCAGCGAACGTGGCCGTAACTGAACGCGGGCGAGAGGGAGGGCACGTGCGCGTGCTGCTCGTGGCTCGGTGACACAGCGTGCTGCCGTTTCGCTGGGCAGCGGCTCAGCAGTTTATTGCACGCACGCGACAGGCGCTTGTGGACTGGGAAGCAATGCAAAGCCTTTTATCTGTTTTTTTAATTAAAACCGTAGCTGATGGAATGGCAGTCCCGGTTTCCAGGAATCCGGCTTGCTCCTGCCCGACCTCCCAGCACGGTGCATCACGCTTTCTCCCTGCAGGCTCCTCTGCCCTACCAGGGCGGCCATTGCCAGCTGCGCCCGTGTCATGAGTTTGTGAGTGCTCATTGCGTGAGCCCCGCTTGGGGGCAGCTCTGCCGTGGAGTCAGGGCCTGAAGCTGGCAGCAAGGTCAACCCAGAGGGCTGGGAAAGCCCCACCTGCCCCTTGGTTTTGGAGGAGAGGTCCCACAGAGGGGGCAGTTTGCCTGCAGCAGAGCAGAGGTGAGCCGCCCGCGCTTGCCAGCTCACCCAGATGGACCAAGGCCGTTTTGGGTGACTTGCAACGTAGAGCTTATTTTGCCTGGGTGTTTCAGCACGGCTGGGTTATTCCCTTGCCACTGAAGCTGGACCGAGTGATGGGAGGCTGTTTGAGCAAGGCAAGTCCTGAACTGAGACGGGAGGGATGGTTTCAGGATGCTCATTAAAGATGTCCATGCCCTGTAACACACCTGGGAAGCTCGATTTCCCGGTCGGCGTGGGCAGCAGCCCACGGCAGTCCCCCCCCACCGAGGCTGCCCGGGGCTCATTTGCCCCAACCTGGAGCAGTCGTGCCGTTCGGGAACGCTCAGTCCTGCCCCTCGCCCTGCCGCGGAGGCGTCGCAGA